CCAGACTCAGTGGCCACAGTCCAGACTCAGTGGCCACAGTCCAGACTCAGTGGCCACATCTGAACTCAGTGGCCACAGTCCAGGTAGTTGCATGGAGAAGCAGAGAAATAAGCCTAACACACTATGTAAACAAACACAGTCGGGTCTTCATCTGATCCTGTGATGTAAATCTCACTGAAGAACCGATTTGGACTTCAGGAAGAGAGAGACAGGAAGAAAAGGGGAATGAAACTTCAACTGGAGTGGATTGAAACGTTCCGCAGGGCTGGTTGCTCATGGATGAGGAGCTTAAAACATCGAAGCAGAGCTCAAACATTGAAGACTATGGAGGCTGAATTGGTCAAATTAACTTTGTTAAACGTCATGAATGTGGTCATTAAACTGAAATGTGCTTTTTATCTAAATGTAAAGTGTTAAATGTTCAAACACCAAGAACAGGGAGAATATCTGCTGTGAGAAACGAATGTTCAGCAGAATGACGGCTCTGACTCAAGACTGACCACCTCCCTCTGTGTGGCCCCTGTCAGCCAATCGGCAGCCAGCTTTACGACCCACCCCCACTCCATAGACCCCATCAGAAGCTGACTGCTGTAGGGCAGAGGGCAGAGAGCGGCTGAGCTGCTGTTTATTGAGTTTATTCAACAAACAGATGAAATCAGGAGCATTTTAATGCAGTTCATCCACTACATTCATGAACTTTAACTATGCTTGTTTGAAAGATGGCTTTACTAAATTTAAATCAAAGCTTTAGCCTCCCTCAATGAGAAATGGCAGCTGTGAGGAATTGCTGCATGGACTGTTGAATGTTATCTTAGGGCTGTCAACTCACAACTCAAGCATCTCAGTGTCTTCACACTCCATATCCACAATTTTTCACGCTGTGTGGACAGTGTGGACTGAAATCCCACAGAGATGAGCTGTCAGATTGCTGTCAGGTTTCCGTCCACACAGGAGCAGCAGGTCTGGTCTGCAGGCAGAAGTAAACAGTTTTCCATATGGCAGTAAGGTCCTGCAATAACGGTATCTGGAAAAGCAGGAAAGCTTTGATGACTGATGCAGAGGAAAATCTAAATAAAATCCTTATTTAGCTCTACGCTGAAATCACACAGCGCTAGCATCTAGCAGGAACCCTTCAGGTGTTTGGATTTTTCTTCTGAGCAGCTCGGCTGTTTTTCTGATGCTTTCTCTGCAGGCGCTCAGTCAGACAGCGAGCTGTCGTCTCATCATTCCAATGAAGTGAGTTTAGACCGTGGCTACACGTCTGACTCGGAGGTTTACACGGAGCACAGTAAGACTCGGATACCTCGCTCCACTACTGATGTGGACGTAGCCAGCAGCGGATGGCTGGTGGTGAGTCTGCATAACTTCTAGAAATGTCTGACAGGCAATGCTGATTCTAGTTTAGATCAGATCCCCCAGCACCAAGTTTCTGGTTTCTGTTTCCAAATGTTTCTTTTTCATAAACTTGGCAAACAGCGTTTTTATTCTTTTCATTTTTTGAAATTTTACCCTGAAAGCATCTAAAATGAAAAACATCTACTGATATTTGATTTTAGATTTAATGTCGTTTTTTTAGGATCTCTTGACATTTTCTGATACTTTTATTTTTTTTCTTAGAGATGTAGAAATTTTTACTGAATACATATAAAGCTTATTTTTTCATTTTATTTTGATATTTTGGGCATTCTTTAACTGTCTGACGTTCTGATGAATTATATGTTGGGAAGCATTTTTGTAATGTCGTTTTTATCCTCCTTCACTCTAGGTTGGGAAAGATGATCTAGAGATGGCGAAGCCCGGCCAAGGCGGCGCCAAAGCTCAGCTGAATCACCCGCTGGTCAACCAGTACAGCCTGACTCTGGGTCAGGACCTCGGCCAGCACGACACTAAGTCCCTCATCAAGTGTGTGGAAACTCTTTCCTTCATCGTCCGCGATGCCGCCCACGTCACGCCGGACAACTTCGAGCTGTGCGTTCGAGCCATCCGCGTGTTTGTGGAGGCCAGCCTGAATGGAGGTGAGACCAGGACATAAAATATCATAAAAACAATGAAGAGCTTGTTTGACTTTCCTTGTTAAATCTCCAGGTTACCGCAACCACGACAAGAAGAAAAACCACAAATACGACTCCAAGTCCAGGACGAGGAAGAAGCCTGCGGGTCGGGACCGAGAGGCGGGGGGTGGAGCGAGGCGAGGAGGGGGCCGAGTGTCGAGTCAGCGTCCATCTCGTTCTCACAGCGATGATGAGGAGGATGAAGGCGTGCCGGCCAGCTATCACACCGTGTCTTTACAGGTTAGTCCAGATGTAAGTACAGTAGCCCTCTTTGCTCCTCTACTTTAGAACAGACAGACAGAGAGACAGATGACTGGTCTGATGGAAGGACAGACAGTCGGACAGACGGATGGTCTGACGGACGGACATTGAGACGGATGGACAGACAGAGAGATGACTGGACAGAGAGCCCAACGGACTGACAGACGATCTGACGGATGGACAGAGAGATGGACGGAGAGACAGGCAGAGAGATGGATGGACAGAGAGCCCGACGGACTGACAGATGGTCAGACAGCTGGACGGTCTGACGGACACACAGATGGACAGACAGAGAGAGACAGATGGACGCACAGAGAGACAGACAGACAGATGGACGTTCGGACAGAGAGACGGATGGATGGACAGACGGTGAGACAGAGAGACTGACTGTTTGATGAACGGTCAGACAGAGAGACAGTCAAACAAATGAGCAGACAGAGACGGACATACAGACAAATGGACGGACAGAGTGAAGGACAGACAGACAGATGGACGGACAGAGTGAAGGACAGACAGACAGATGGACGGACGGACGGACAGAGACGAACGAACAGACAGATGGACAGACAGACAGTCAGATGGTGGGTTTGTTCCCTCTGGGAGCCTGAAGCTTCTCTCTCTGCTGTCATGTCGTCAACCAAAGACCAATGAACTCTGCTGATTTAATCCCATCAGTTTGTCTTCAGACCAGCTTCCTGTTTGCTCGTCTCTGTGTTTAAACTTTCTTTACCTTGTTCTCCTCTTATAGTTAAAAACAAATCAATTTTCTTTCTACTTCCAAAAAGTTTATATTTATTTGCAAAATGTTCAGGTTTCGTTTAATTCAGTTAAATCAATCGGTCCGACTTTACACCTTTAGCACCGAATGTTTGCTGCCACCCTGCATCCAATGGTCAGCTTCTCCTCATCACGTTAAAGACCATTTATCCAACCTAATGGATTTCATGTCTGCATGCTTTGGTTGAAATGGATGTGATGTCATCAGTTGACAATAAGTCCTCCCCTGCAGGAGCAAACCCTGACACCGGAAATGTAGTTAAAAAAATAAAAAGCTAAATGTTGTTGAAATACACACAGTGGATTATTAACTGTTTCCCAAACCAAAGGAACTTTTAATAGATGAACAAACGCTGCTGCTGGCGGCATGAGAAGCTCAACACAGCAGAGCTACTTCACTGACGAGCATTTCAGCAAAGGTGGAGCAATCTTGCAGTTGGTGCCACTTTAATGGAACTAAAGGTGTCGACCTCCTCCTCCATTTAGTCTATTGTAATTCCATCCAAGTCATTCCACCACATTTAAACAATCCACTGTCAATCCATAGCAAATGAACTCAGACAAGATGCTGATTTGCCAGAAGACAGCACAGTTTCTAACGATCATGTTCTATATAGAGAACTGAGAATCCTACTGTAAGAAACAACCTCCCAAGCAGATCTGGACCCAGCAGTGTTGCAAAGTTTGGACGAGGTCGCTCGCCGCTTGTACTCTGCCGCGGTGAAGTTAGTTTTACGCTGGATATTTGACAGAATTATAATTAGAATTTATCCTCTTCTTCGCTCTGGGAAGTCTATAATACGGATGCACTTGAAGTGTTGGAGCAGCTTTCTCAGATGGCAGTGCACCCGGAGCAAAGAAGAGGATTTAAAGGAGCAAAGAAGAGGATTAGACGCAGGAAGAAGCAGTTTAACTGGAGCAAATGTCTGTCGAACTTAGCTACTTTTTCAAATAATTCTATATTATCAAATCCTTCAATTTTTTTTTCTGTATGTATTTTTAATTATAGCAGGATTGGTCCTCCATATTTGTTGAGCTAATCCTCCTCAGATATTAACAGATTACCCTCCTCCCACTTTTTCCTCTTCTAATCTGCATTGTGGGACTTTGCAGACAATAGGCCTTAATATATTCTGGAGATGACACCCTTGATTTTTTTCTTGATAAGCATCAATTAAGATTTTAAATATTGGGCCATTGATGACGATCAGTTTTTAAACTAACATATATTCATTATTTTCATCTTCTTTTAGTGAATCGGTTCAGTTTATATAATTTTCCTGCTGTTTGTGTCCAAGCAGCTGTTGGACCTGATGCACACTCTTCACACCCGGGCCGCCAGCATCTACAGCTCCTGGGCGGAGGAACAGCGCCACCTGGAGGCCTCTGGGAAAAAGATAGAAGCTGACTCTCAGACATTGTGGACCAGCTGCTGGTGTCCTCTGCTGCAAGGTGGGCTGAGAAGGAAGGCACCTTTCAAAGATCCCATCTTTAAAAGATGGGAAAACTTCCAACCAGGCTAAATGAGAAAGTCATTGGAGCTGCTGGTAGTTTGAGAGTAAATGAAAAAAGAAAGATGAGGTTCTAAGCAATAGAGAAGGAGAAAAAACATTTTAGGAAATTAAAAAAATATATGCTCAGTGAAATCCTTCGAAAAATCAACATTTCAAGCCAGTAGTGTTATTGGAATCCAGGTCAAGACCTTATTACCTTTGTAAAATAAAAAAATATGGATATTTTGATGGCAAATATGAATGCCAATGTAATAACAAGAAACGCCAACTTGCCCGAATATATTAAGCAAAATAACAAAAGTGCTTCTATAAGAAATTCAGAGCATGTGTCATTTAGAGTGATGCTTTAGAGGTTATGATACATTGTCAAATATTTCATCACCGAATGTTATTTTAGTGTTTAAATGTAGAGCAGCCAACCTGTCCTCCTGCTGCGTTCAAGGAATGACGACTTTTTCTGTTCCAGGATCAATATTTGATGAATGATAAAAAGTTATTGAACAGCTCATGACATCTTCTCTCCACGCTTGTGGTTCTGCTCTAGGCATCGCCTGGTTGTGCTGCGATGCCAGGCGACAGGTCCGCATGCAGGCCCTAACTTATCTCCAGCGAGCCCTGCTGGTCCACGATCTGCAGACGCTGGATGCAGCCGAGTGGGAATCCTGCTTCAACAAGGTGAAACACTGGGATCATTTCTCAGGTCCTAGACTAGTGGAGAAAAAGTATTCAACTATTCACCCCAGTTAAATAAATGGAGACTTTATTTTCTTATCTTTGCAAAGAGAGAACAGTTCATCATACAGCCTTTACGGCACAGTAATCAGCCCTGTTCTCAACTAGACAGAGTTTGCCTCCCTTACTTATAATGAGATTAAAACTGTGAAGGTTGTGCCAGAGTCCAAACAAATTACACATACTTTGGTTAAAAAGTAACAATTCTTGAAAAGTAATTTGGCTTGT